TTCCCCTTCGGGGGGGCCTGCCGTTAAGCCGAAGCTCTAGGGCTTGGCCTTGCCTGAGGTGTGCCCCACCCACGCAGCAGCCATGCTCCTTCCCATGCCCGACCACAGGCACCGCTGAGCTGCACCTGGGCCCTGGCCCGTGGGCTGACGTCCTGGCTTGGCCTGGCGACCACTGGCTGGGTCTGACGCAGTCACCAGACCTGGTCCGGACCCCAGCTTACTGACTCGTGTTCCTGGCTTGACCTCGGCCATGATCCTCACCCTGGCTTGCCTGATGACCCGGCCTCTGGCTGTCCCCCACTGCTGCCTCACTGGACCCTGCTTGGCAAAGCCCTGCCTGACAAAGCCCTGCCCGCAGCCTGGCTGTCAGGCCCAGCCCCCACCTCCTCCACCCGCAGGGAGCAGCTAACCCACGCCGCGCTCTGGCGAGGGCTTTCAAGCCACCATGGGATCTCTTTCCTTCGATAAATACACGCAGTATCTTGTAATTTCTAACCATTCTTATACTTTCTTTGGTACAAAAATATTGTCAACCCTCCTGACTGAAATCAATTATTAACACCATGACTCGGCATTCCATTTTGCTATCTGACTGAAGAGTAAAAAGTGGTATATAAATAGTCAAAGAAACGTGAGAAGACAAAATTATTTTACAGATTCCAGGACCACTAAGACAGCTAAAGATGGATCCAGAATGAAGGATTCACAAGCACTGGAAGAACTATAATTTTAAATAAAGACAAAAGTTGAAAATCAACTGGTCTGCAGGGTTTTGTGATATTTTTCCCCTTACTTGAGTGAAACTGAGAGTATACTGTACAGAGAAAGCATAAAAATATTTTAAATGTTTTACTTCTCTTCATCTTTAGTCTGAGACTGATGCTAACAAAGTATGTACTCAATTATATTTTTAGAACTTACCACACAGCAGCAAATTAGGCACCTTTGACAAATGACATGAGTGAAAAGTTGCCATGGCTTTACTCACATTTTTTGCTAATGTAGGTTGTGCATCCATGTGGCATGAAGACATTTGCAAAGTTAAGAGCTCATTGTATTTTTGTGATGATGCACATGCCATATGGCCTTTTTCCTGAGCACTTATTAGACTTCTGTTGTTTGCCATTTCCTGTTTAGAAGTGCAAAAGATTGTAACTAAAAGGAAAGCATACGCTTTTTGTTAAGACTGATGATTAAATAGCAATTAGAAAATTGAACAAGTCTTCTATCATCATTTTCTCTACAGATTGTGAGAGCATGGTGGGGTTTAGACAGAGTTTCATTTGGATGCACGTGTACTTCATGTATTGCTCCTTTCTGCAGAAGCAAGATTTGGAATTGAAAGGGAAATTTGGAGGCTATAAACAAAGAAAATACATTCTCTGTGGACTTAGATTAATGTGATTATCTGTATATATATAATAAAATCAGAAACACCTGAAATAGTCATATAGATTTTCAATAAAACTACCTCTTCTCTTCTCCCTGCTGCCCTCTATCTCCTCTACCCCTATGAGAATGAAACAACTGCCGTTTCATACGTTGTTTCTACAAAGACATCACCAAGAACTGAGGAGCTTTGTTATTCCTTTTAACAGGAAAGTGGGGGGGGGGGGGTTAATTTTATTTTTTATTTTAATTTTTAATTTAGGGAAATCAAGTACTTGATAAACCTTCAGATAAAGTTACCTGAATCTGGGTCAGAATTTACATAAACCTAAAATAGATTACTGGCTTTTGGACTATATACAGTCTAATATTTTACCTATCATTGACTGAGACAGACTGGTGGCCAGCTGAGAAACTCTTAAATTATACTTTCTTATGCATGAGATCTGCCATCTGATGTGCAAGCTACCTGTGAGAAGGAATCTTTCATTTTCAGTGTTACTGCAAAAGCTATGCTGACAAAAACTTACAAATTAAGCTCTTAAAATGAGTCCTTGCTCTAATATTGTATAAAGATCAACATTTGAATATACATTTTATTTTAATGAAAAGAAACAACAAACAATTTACACAGTTGGCTGTACTATTTTTCAGAGACAAGAGTTTATGGGTTGATACCTATAACAGCTTAGCAATCACAGTTACCGGCAAAACTAACAGTAGCAGAAAATGCTAAAGCAAACCTGAAGCTGGCCTTTACAGTTTAAAAGCCAATTCCTGAAAATACTTACACAGTTGTTTAATATAAAGCTCGTCAGTGTGTCCATTCCTTCAGTGCAAATAGAAGTATATATGGTTCTTTGCAGGACTGAAGCCCTGTTGTGCATTTCTTAAACAAATGTTTGTGTTTGAAGTATATATTATTATTTTCACAGCCTACAAAATGCAGACATACACCATGTTGTATAAATCACCATGACAAACTTTAAACATTCCATTCATTGAAAACAGCTACAAAACCTTTTAATCGTACAAACTGATCCATTTGACCAGTTATGCAAAATAAGTGGCTCTTTCATTGCCCTCACAGATTTCTTGAATTACTCTTTCTTCTAGAACTTTTGTTAAATAGATTTACTTAATTTTCTGGGGTCATAGAATTTTTTTTAACAATATGTCTGTAGAATGCCTAGCACACCAGGCCCTGAACTTGCCTGAAATATCAAAGGACAAAAAACACCTCCCACAAAATCAACATTAAGGTAACAATAAGGTAATAATGTAGAACCAAGTCATTCTATGAGCCAAAAAAGCCAACTATATTGCTGAAATATAATTTTGATGTTGAACTAGATTAATCTCAGTACCAGTTACAAAAATCAGAAAGAAATGCAAATTTTAATCAGTAACATTTATGTCCATTTGACTGGATTGATCTTCTGTGACTGAGTACTATTCCTCTTTTATACATCTTAACCTTCAAACATTCATTGGCGATATGCATTATCTCAAAACAGCTTTACCATGTGCTTACTTTTATAAATTTCACTCAGTCTCATTCAGTATGCAATCTGATGATAAAGTAATATGATCTAATGGCTAGGTGACATCAAAATGGGCAGACTTGTTCCCCTCTTCCATCTCTTCCCCTTGCCCTGGACGAGTTCTCCAGCTACTTTCCCTGTACTGGCACTGACACATGTCAAATCTGTTCAGTGGAGCTAAACCACCAGAAAATTATAAATTTTTTAGCAGAAATGGATTTTTGCTCATTTATCTCCATGAATTCTTTCACTGTGTGGTCACATGAAAGGCAGTGCTGATGCAAGGGCAGCAAGAGTACGTGACTGAAGTGGGTGAGAAAGGAATGGCAGAAGAATTTTACTACTTTCAGTGGCAATTAGTCATTAGATCAGCACAGCTATATCTTCGAACTACACCTCGCAGTTCAAACTGAAAAGAGAACAGGAGTTTTGCTTAAGCTACGATTGAAAATATATGTAATACAGGAATATATAATGAAATGGTATTTGAAGTACAGCAACTGTATTCTTTCCTACAATACTAAAAGGCATTTTACTACTTGTCGCCATACTTGGAAAATACTTTAGTCTTTAAAAGGATCCACATAATGGAAAAATGTTAATCAAAAGTATGATAAATTATAAACTGTATCTCTAAAGAAAATAAGCAAAAAGCCAATTAGCCCAGTGCTCCTCCTCAACAAACATGTGGAAACATATCCAATTATCTTGGAAAAAGCCAATTAAAATACAATGAATAATCTAAATACCAGAACTAAATATTTCATTTTGTAATTATCTTTCTCAAGAAGCTGGTTTTAACATAAACTGTGAAATACTGTCAATCTGTCATGTTTGCAAGCTTTATAGACATCGCAGTTGTTGCTCCGTTGCCCTTGTGTATATTGCAGTTTACATTAGCAAGTAACTAATGTGACACTGAACATGCCTGTTTCTGATAAGGGTTTTCAAACGTCTGAATACTTGGGTTAAGTATATCAGAATAAAGATCAAAGTATACCAACAAAATGAGTCTTATTCAGTCTTTTCATTGCAGGACTTGACAAAAGAAGAAATATAACCTAATGTGGCTTTATACACATGGTTAGCAGCATGACTGCAGAATTTGAACATATGTACAGGAGACACAAGAAGAAAAGAGATCCTTTTGTTTGACAAATCCACATGCAATCCAGGCATAACTGCAATTTTAATTCTCAGAGAGTGGATGTGTGTTAAAGCTGTTCTGTGTTCTATGACAGACATGAGAAAAGGAAAGCCATAAAATGGCACTCTCTCCTTCTGGAGCTGCAGAGAGATATTGAGAACAATGTGTATCACAGAGAAGTATTCCTTTCTTAGAATCTCATGGAGCATGATGCAATTCTTTATTAATTAATTCTACTGAGCCTACATGACCAAACTGGGATTGAAATTACAACATACGAAAACATTTACTACATAATGTACTGACATGCAACTGGAAAAAAAACAAGTTGATTTTTATGTATGTGTGTTTTAAACATCAACAAAGTTAGACCTTGACTTCAGACAGCATAAATAAGATTCATTCAAATGACCATAAGGCCTCAGAACTAAGGAGATGGTGGTACTAGCCTGTCATGCTACCTTTTTCATGTGCAGGCAATCTGTATGGGAATGAGGCCTTTTATAGCATGAAAATGTCTCAAAGAAAATCCCATTATGATAAAAACAGGGATGGGAATATACCATACTGTCAAAGTATAACCAAATTATGTTAGTTTGTTGATGAACGAGTCCCTTAATTGCAAACAATAGTGTGCTAGTGACTACATATTGCTGGCCCATATATATATATAAAAAATTCAAATCGTGGAGGATTTAACACCTGAAGGATTTCTCTACACTAGTGCTGTTTCGTGTTACCTTTTCATTCCACAACTCTCAGAGATAGAAGGCTAAGTTCGTGTTTAACTCTGGCTGCTCTTAAGTTTTCATGCTCACAGACAAAACCAAATTAAGACAGTAGCTTGTTTTGAGGCTTCGAAACATGAGGAAACACTCCACTCTCTATTCTTAAATTAGCAAGTTTGCAAATTCAAGCATTGAAAATCAAGATAAAAATAGAAATTTGCACATGCAGTTTTTATTTGACTTTAAGTATATGGATTCTTATAGACTTAGTGACATAATAATTTGGTTTTATGATTCCTCCAATTCACTGACTTCACTGAGTTAGAAATCTGCCAGGAAATGCAGAAAAAGAGAGAATTGTCTCATGGCTAAGGTCTGCTGCCTCAGATAAATTGGATATCATTCTTGTCTTTAACTTAAAATTCTAAAGTGATATTGAATAAG